ATATATATATATATATATATATATATTAAAGGGTTAGGGATGCTAGAAAGTTAACAATGTATGTTGGCTATGTATGTTACACTTGCCTACAAGTTTAGGATTAGAAACCAAGGATTTTGACTTTGTCATTTTACTTATTTTTGTTGTTTTAATTTGTAAAAATTTTAATATGCATGAACTTTTATATTTTATTTTGTTTATTATTCGTTTTAGACAATCTATAGTTTTAATATGATGTAATTGGATTGCCAAAAATATCGGAATGGCCTTTTAATATATAATTGAGGTTCAAACGAAAACACCCCTGACACATGTGATAATACACGTGAGGGGAACTGGTGGTGTGCAGACTACGTGCCATGTGACTTAGGTCGTGCCAAGGATTGTTTGCGTCTATGTTTTAGTATCACATGTGATGGTCTTGATGGATTCTAGTATCACATTAAAAATACACTTATCACATGTGATAATATATGTGAGGGGCTTAGTGGTATAAGGGCGACTTCGCCCGCAACCAATATCGTGCCAGAAGTCGTTCGCGTCTTTGATTTAGTATCACATGTGTATCATATGTGATAGAGTAATAGTATCACATGTGATTGTTTATAATAAAAGATGTTCTCACGATCTTGTAAAATGAAGATGTTTTTGTTTGAACTCTTCCCTATTATACACACACACACACACACACATATATATATATATATTAATTGTACCCCTGGTTAATATTAATTTATTAACTTACTATTTATTATTAAGGGCAAAATATGTGAAATAACAACTTACTTTTAAATTTTTTTTATTATTATAACATTGTACTTTCAGTTTTACTTATTACAAGAATATACTTTCAAAAAAAATCTTATGGCATTGTATTTTGAAAAATTTAATCATTATAGCATTGGGTAACTTTTTAATTTAAATTTACACATTACACCAGGTTTTCATGCCACCTCGTTGTCTACATAGGCCTAAATGTGTACTAATGTGTATTATGTGTTTAAGAAGGTGGATTATGTGATAATATAACGCTCTAATGAGGACTTGTAGCAAAATCCTTAAGAAATATAAAGGGTTACATAGGTTTACAAAGGAAAGCATAACACCTATGTTACAAATACATAAAACTGCTTTTATTGGAAGATCTTTTCCGGAATATTTTTGTTGGAAGTTATAAATTATCTTGCTACGAACGCGTA